GATCAAGCTAATTCTGAAGTGAGTCGTCTTGGGATCTAAGAATGACATCATAGATTCCAAGTTCAATCTAAGAGTTATTCATCATTCTAACTAACTCTTGGTTGAAATTAATTCGTTAGGCTAGCTTTATTTGTGCAATTTTATAAAGATCCTAGAAAGACCTTTAGCTTTGCAAAATTCAGCATGGTTGAAGCTTATCTAACATGCTTGATTTACCTCCCCAAATTTTGTACTGTAATTGACAAGTCGAGTTAGCTTCTAACGTTCCCAATAAATTTCTCTGGTAGTCCTCAATTAGTCACCAGTTATCTGAAACATCAGAATCTGATTTGGATGAGTAGAAAAAACAAAAAAAAGGAGAAGAGAAAGTCCCCAACCAACGGAGCTCATAAGAAATTGCACCAAGAAAAATTAATTACAGAATAGTGACCAAAACTAAGCTACAAATGTTGGCAAGGCCCACAATTCCACCTTTTTCCTTTCCTCTATCTTGTATTGGGGATCTAACCAAAGCTCCCTAGCAAATCCTTAACTCCATTGAACAAGAAATTTCCGCCATGTTTTCTAACCCCGTGCCCATAGATAAGTGCTTGATATTATCCTCAGTAGCATTAGCAAACCCAGTTCATACAACTTTTTCTAGAGAGGGTGTTCAGACAGAAAAAATTAAAAGGGCATACACAATTGACCTTGATTCTCCACTTTCACAACAATGAACATACAATCTTGGATTAAGCATCATATTGGCTCACCTTTGAATTACATATCCTGTGTCGTCTCCTCCAAAGAATAGGATCCATCTTGCATCCAATAACTCGAGGTGTTTTTTTTCTTTTTTTTTTTGCCTGGTTTCTTATGAACTGGATACTTTGAATTCTAAATATGGCTAGTAATAATCTATCTTCCAAGACGTCTGATGATTCTTATGCCATCTGAGGCATTAATTTCACCATAAAATATATTGCTCGTTCAATGTTCATTTCATGGAATCATTGAATGTTTCTCATAAAGCTAGTTCTTAATCCAATTGATCATATGCGCTTCAGTACATTTGACATGAATCATAATGAATTAGCTTGGTGGCTGAAGAGGCAAACTGTAAAGCTAGATACCATAACAGGTCAAAAAAGTTGTATGATTGTCATCTACCTAGGATATCAAGTATCCAAATGTTTGTACACTACGGCGATTGTCCTTTGATATTTGTTGCAGTGCACATAAGTTGACACCAACATTTCATGATTATCCAACCAAAATTACATTTGTCGTGACGAAGACCAACTTCACCTCACAACACACTTCAATAATATAGGCCAATACCTTCGTACGTTCAAGATTAGCTCATAAACTAATCACAACCTTAGCAAACTACTGCCTTGATGTTAACAAAATCTAACCAGATAGTTACTTCTGCATACTTATAATATGTTAAATAGAGAAGTGAAGGAATAAAATTGTTCAAAAAGTGTTACTGTGATAGTTGTAACTTTAAATGGCATCAGGACATCCCTTCCGACTCTAACATGAATCTCAATTATTGCGTGTTCTCAAGCAGATTTCTATGGTTATATCGATCACATCGGGAAAAGAAATTGCCATTCAAAATGGCCAGGCGACCGTGTCAGAGAGTAAAAACAGAGTTCCAAACAGAACAAATTCACGCTACCAATATGCATCACATACAGTATAATTGAAGATAGAACAACAAATTAAAAACATGCAGCGATTAGATCTCTCATAGGGAATAGAAACACAAGAACAATACTACCGTAACACATTAAATCTATCATCGATAACTAAATCGAAAGATGCAGGGTAAAAGAAAATCAAACTCTAAAGCGTCTCCGCTGCTTTATCATCGATCGACATGGAGAGGAGAGACAAGAACGCGATGCTGCGATTGAAATCAGTGGTTCGAATAGGGCTTTGGCTCATTAGAATCTTTCGCAAAGACAGACGGATCGATCATGAAGGGTGAGAATTTTAATTGTAGATCCTTTATATATGGATTCATATTTCCCCCCTCATTTCTCCACGTTGAGCGCGTTTTTGAAAAAAAAAAAAAAAAAAAAAACTTAATTGATAAAATAATCAAATAAAACTAAACAAAATTAACTTATAAAGGATCAAACTTATGGTGGTGGTATGTCTCTTTGTTGCGACCTGAATTTGATTCCGATGGTTTGGATCTGTCTCTGTCTCAACTCTCTTTCCTTCGCATACTCGTATGTCTCCCTCCACCTTTATTGATTGGTATGATAACCTTGATTCATAGAAAGACGTTCGGGAGCTGTGAAGACCTATCGTGAGGGAACTGCGTATGTCCATGGTTGGTTTTATCGAAACTCTTAAATTTGCTTTCGTTAAAGAAAATATAGGAGCTCTTGGTTTGGCTAATATCGATCCGTGTGGCAATGCAGACTTGACTCAAGATGAGGATTCTGCTTTTCATATTACTACTACGAGCCGAAAGAGCTGATAAACTGTCTCACTAAATAAAAGATAAAAGTCACATATCATAATTGATACATGCAATGGACGATTGTCAAATGTATAGTCTAAATTAATAAACATAAGAAAATTTAGAGATTTAGTTAATACACCAAAGTTTTGGTTTTTAGGGACAGAAATTAATTTACTTTTAAAAGTTTTGAGATGATAAGTCATCAATACAGAAAATCTTTTTATAAGAAAAGAATGGGCCCTCCTAAAAAAAATCCATCGAGAAGAATGCTGGTGGACATGGAGAAAGAACACTCTACTTTAGGCCGTGCTCCTTTCCAGTTTCGAGTGTCCTTTTAGATAGTTATAACGACCCACAAGCACAAGATGTACTTTGTGGGGGGAGAGGGAGAGAAACGCAAACCACTTCTCGATATGAAATCAACGACTTAAAAGACAAATGTCAAGAGAAACAGTTAGACTTCTATATTACGTCACGAAGAGAGATCAAGATTTTCTGACATAGTATAAGTACGGGATGAAAAAGACAATATAAAGAAGAGAGTACACGAGTTTAGGGTTTTAGAGATTTAACAGTTGCAATTACATTTCTCTCATGTATAATAAACCGTTCTCAAACGAGTTGTAACGAACATAAAATTAGGGGTTAACCGATACAACTCCAAAAGGCTCGATATCAATTTTTACCCTAAAAACGATTAGAAACGATATTACACGTCGAACCCAAAAGTCGTCCCAACATCCCATAGCAACCAATGTCAAATCAAAAGATTCCCAATATGGGTACAAAAGTTGAGGTGACAATAGATTTAGTGTGGGTTTTGTCCAAAAACGTTAAAAAACACAACCAAGAAGAGGCTTCACGAAGTGGGATGATAAACGGAATCTCGTGGGGCAAACCAAACACACAGGCATCAGGCAGCAGCCAAGGCCAAGGGCAGCGCCAAGGCCAATGGCAATGGCAATGCCAAGGGCAGCGCCAAGGCCAATGCCAAGGCCAAGTACATTTATACAAGCATAGAAAGGTGGTGATATGAAGCAGAGGAATGGGATGGGTGCCAAGTTAGGCAAGCAGGAATGGACGTTTCATTAAATGCAATGCCTCTCGCTCTCCCGGCTGCCTAGAAGTGGCTTGAGACGATGTTGACAAGTGCTTTTAGCCCTTTTCTTTTTCAAGTTTCCTTCTTTAGCATTGCACCCACAAAAGGAGCCATTGCACCACAGACCCACTTATTCTCTTCACCATCTTTTCACTTCATTCAACTTCTTCTTCATCCTTTGGTCCCACTCCATTTCTTTTCATATATCTCTTCTATTTTCACATCTATTGCTCTTTCTTTTAAAACATGATATGTCGATCAAAACCCTCCTTTTTTAACTTTACATTTGTTCAAATATAATTGTATACATATAGCTTAGTGAATCTCAATTGTAAATTAGCACGAGACCCGGTTCATGAATTATACCGTTATTATCAGTGAATACCCGTTCTCCTCTCTTTGAAACAAGGGACGGTTCGAGGAGTCAAAAGCATCGACGTCCACGAGAGAGGTGAGGAAGTCTTCTTGAGTCATCAGATTAGGCTTTCGTATGGAACACCGTCTCTTTCAAGCACCAAAACTCATTCGAACTTTACACGAGTTTAATTACGAGACTAAGTCATCACTAAACCTAAAAACATAAGTTAGGTATATGAACTTTACCAATATTACTTGAAATTATGTTGAAGCTTCCACGTATCTATTTTTCCCTTGGAAATCCTTAGAATTATCACTGTTCAACTTTCAATTTGCCTATGACCATCTAATGAAACGTGAATACTCGTTCTCCTCTCTTTGAAACAAGGGACGGTTCAAGTACTCAAAAGCCTCAACGTTCATGAGAGTGAGGAGGAAGTCTTCTTGAGTCATCGGATTAGGTTTCCGTACAAACCACCGTCCATTTCAAGCACCAGAACCCGCTCATACTTTACACGAGTTTAAGCACGGGACTAAGTCATCACTAAACCTAAAACTTAAGTTTGGTATATGCTTCCACATATCTATTTTTTCCCCTCGAAAATCCTTAGAATTATCACTGTTTAGCTTTCAATTTGCTTATGACCATCTAATGAAACATGAATACCTGTTCTCCTCTCTTTGAAACAAGGGACGGTTCGAGTACTCAAAAGCCTCAACGTCCATGAGAGTAGGGAGGAAGTCATCTTAAGTCATCAGATTAAGCTTCCATATAGAACACCGTCTCTTTCAAACACGAGAATCCGCTCGTACTTTACACGAGCTCAAACACGGGACACTAAGCGATCACTAAACCTAAAAACTTAAAAAGGTTAGGTAAATTGAATGATCTTATGAAAAAAGGGTTTTGTTTTTTTCTTGTTGGTTGTGAATTTTTGTTTAGGGTTTGTCTGGTGGAGGTGATGGGTCTGCAAAAGTGCAATGCAGGTACGATGCTGAGTATGGTAACACTAGATTTGCTTTTTGACTCCATTCCAACATTTCTCCTTTATTCACCTTCTTCTTAATCATTTCAAAAACCCTAACCCTAACAACCCTCTGCCCCACTCTCTCAAACCCTTCCTCCCCCAATTTTCCTCTTCACCTTCTTCCCTTCCCTTTCAGACAACAACACTTAATGAGCTCCGAAGACAAATCTTCCATGGATTTGGTCCAACCTTCTGACCATCTTTGCTATGTCAAATGCAACTTTTGCAACACTGTTCTTGCGGTAAAACCCTCTTGATTTTACTGAATTCTACGTGTAAAATTATTACTCTCGTATTTTTTTTGTTCATGAAACGACAGTTCATATGATTCCTTTGATACCCTTTTGATCATAATTGATTGTAATGGTAAAAACAAGGTTGATTTGTGAACTAAGAATAGTAAATTTCTTTCTGTCCTTAACTTCTCCGAATTGACAGCTAAAATTCACGTTTAGATTGTTGTGTGTTGGGAGTTTAACGTTAAATTTGGGTAAATTTGTTCGGATTCTTTGACATTTTTTTTTTGTTTGTTTTTTGTTGGATTTGGTAGGTTGGAATTCCATGCAGACGTTTGTTGGATACAGTGACAGTGAAATGTGGTCATTGTAGTAATCTCTCCTTTTTGAGCACAAGACCTCCTTTACAAGGCCAATGTATTGATCATCCTCTCAGTTTTCAGGTGAATTTTGTAATAATTACAGTGGCAGTGAATTCGTAAGGTTTTTTTTTCAATGGCTAAAAGATTATTTTTTGAAACTAGCAGTCTCAGGTTGGCTTCTCCAATGATATCCGAAAGGGGGCATCGACATCGTCGTCGTCGTCGTCGTCTTCGATGGCTAATGAGTCCCCCTCTGCAAATTTTGTTGTGAAACGTATGTTTGCACTGTTTTATTACGATAGAGAATTAATGTGAGATCCCACGTCGGTTGGAGAGGGGAACAAAACATTTCTTATATTAAGAATGTAGAAATCTCTCCGTAGTAGTAGACGCGTTTTAAAATCTTGAGAGGAAGTCAGGAAGGGAAAACCTAAAGAGGACAATATCTGCTAGCAGTGAGTTTGGGCTATTACAAATGGGTATTAGAGCTAGACACTGGGAGGTGTGCCAGCGAGGACACTGGGCCATAAAGGGATGGATTGTGAGGTCCCATATCGGTTGGAGAGGGGAACGAAGCATTCCTTGTATGGGTGTGGAAACCTCTCTCTAGTAGACGCGTTTCAAAGCCTCAAGGGAAAGTACAAAGATAACAATATATGCTAGCGGTGAGCTTAAGTTATTACAAACAATATCAGAGCTAGACACGGGGCGGTGTGCTAACGAGAACGTTGGGCCCCAAGGGAGATGGATTGTGAGATCCCAAGTCGGTTGTAGAGAGGAACAAAGCATTTCTTACATGGGTATGGAAACCTCTCTCTAATTCCTAATAGACGTGTTTTAAAACCTTGAGGGGAAGCACAAAAACGACAATATCGATGAGTTTAGACTGTTAAAATTAAATTTACCGTACCTCTGATTTGCATGTTTTTGCAGCCCCTGAGAAGAAACACAGGCTGCCATCTGCATACAATCGTTTCATGAAGTAAGAAAAGTTATTTAATTAATCAAAAAAGTCAGAAATTTTACCACTTTTTTTTTTAAAAATTGAAACTTTACCATATGGGTTTGTTAGAGAGGAGATTCAACGAATCAAAGCTGCCAACCCAGAAATCCCACATCGAGAAGCATTCAGTGCAGCAGCCAAGAACGTAATCAAACCCGTTTTTTGTTGCATTTGTTCATACATTTGAATCATATTAACTGCTTGAATTAATGTTGTCACGACAGTGGGCTCGATACATTCCAAATTCAGCTGATGGGTCGGCTTCTGGGACTCACGACAATGTAAGAAAACGTTGTTAATTTAACTGTTTTAGCTGTGTCTGAGACTTATGGTTCTTAGGGTTGTCGATTTTGCAGGAATGAAAAGGGTTTAGGGCAAATCAAGTGGATGTCTAGGGTTTCATAAAGTTTAAGATTGGGCATGTTTGTGTCTCGATGTCTTCTCCAATTTCATGTCTTGCTTAGTGTTGTGTTTTTTTTTTTTTTTTTTTTTTTTTTTTTTTTTTTTTTTTTTTTTTTTTTTTTTTTTTTTTTT